TCGTTTTGAAATCCACCGTATTTCTGAGTCTGTGTATCGTGATTTTCCCCAAACTACATTTCCTAAGCATGAACCTGAGCCTACCTCTTCTCATTCTTCCCAGACTACCCTATCTGTTGAAGGTAAATCTAAAACTGAGTTACAGGATATGGCCAAGCAACTTCTACTCCAAGCCTCCCAGATGCAAGATGATGAAGACAATGAGTCCCAATCCTCTTCGAGCTGCCAACCTCGTCAACAAAGTCCAAGCCCTGATCGCCCCATGAGATGGTCTGACTATCCCCACAGTCAGGACCCCAATGATGCATACGCCACCTATGAGCTTAATTCAGATTGAGATTCCCTATCATAATTGAGTCAAAGCAGCAGACAAAGTTAAAAGCATGAGTAAAGCAGATTCCTGAGTAAAAGCATAAAGAGCCTGCGTAAAAGCACGATATTCCTGAGTAAAAGCATAAAGAGCCTGAGTAAAAGCACAATGCACCCAGTCAAAAGCCATACAGTTCCTTGCTCGTGACTACAAAGCTACTTGAGTTACTTTTAGGTTACTTGAGTTACTTTTAGCTTACTAAGGTTTAGATTTTATCTATTTAAGATAGTCTTTGCATCGTTTGTAAGCAGAATGTAAAAGTTTAGTTTCCTAGTTTCAAATTGTTCTCTCATAAACAATGATCTGAAGAACAGCAGAGTGTGAGCGAAGCCAGGAACTATTCTTGTAAGCCAACATTCTCATAAGCCTATGTTTTAATAAAAGTATTTTTGAGTAATTTAAAAATATCATTATGTTTATATGTTCAATATTTGTTTTTTCATTAATAAAATTCATGCACAAATTACGTCTTTTTTATTATGTTTGTTTTATTACCATATGTAATTATCCTTTCTGGTTCTAGACCCTTTCTGGTATCAGAACCTGTTCCTGACTGGTTGGTAAAGGAAGATCCTATAACCTTAAGGCCAGATTTCTCAGGTTTTTCAGGGGTTAGTTGCTCAAGCATGCTTTCTATCTTTTTCATTGTAGGTGACGTTTTAAGAGAAAACTTAGGTTGTAGTTCTTGAAACTGGATTAGTGGTTTGTCTTTCGGTTTAGGCTTAGATTCGGGAGGAAATAGCTTATCAGCCTTATTTTCTATTTTATCCAATTGTTTTCCTACAATAACTAGGCTTTGATTAGTATAATTATTTTGTTCAACTAATCTCTTATTAGGCTCATCGGCTGAATCAGTGACCTTAAAAGGGCTTGCAACTACAGTTCTCATTCCATGTTTAATAAGAATAGTTTCTACTGGAGGGTGACTAGCCATAATCTCAGACTTATCAAATTTTGTCCATTTTTCTTTAGTCAAAGTTTTTAATTCATTATATATATATATAACGGCTTTCTACAAAATCAAGATAATAAATTTCTATTTTCTCAGAACGCATATGATTTTTCCAGTCATTAAATATTTCTTGTCTCTTGTTTTTATCAGGAATAATTTGGTGATATATATCTCTTCTGCTTTTATTACTAGGATCATAAAGGTGCTTATCTAAGGCTTTCCAGTTAATCTTAAATGACTCAGGTTTGTGAAGAACCTGCAATTGTTTATTTATGTCATAAATATGGGCATTGGCTATCTCACTTGCAAGGAAATCGATTTGGGTCGGTGAGGTAGGGAGAGACTCAGGTTTAAGTGGATTGACTGTGTGAGGTAGGGTTTCATAACAAGGTTGATTAACCTAGTTCTTTTTTCTTAAAGAATGTAATTTTAGATCTATCAAATCTCGTTCTATTTCTAAATCTCTCTCCTGGGTAGAGGAAGAGGTAGCAAATGAATGTCTAGCTGGCTCATGTCGTTTAGATGGGCTTGGTGTAGGTAACTGTTGTAACTTAACTGCGGACTTAGGCTCATTACCAAAGTTAATTTTGACTGTACCATCTAAGTATTGTTGAATATAATCTAAATTATTTAGACTACGCTGGATAGGGGCAGGTTGGGTTTCAGTGACTAGGGTCCAATCTTTAGGTAAACTAATTTCAGACCATTTAACAGTATGCGGGATTCTTATATTAGCATCGGGTGTACAACTCTGTATTAGAAGTGTCTGGTCTTTGGGATTTTTATTTAGAGCTTGAAAATTCATATTTGTACCTGTAACCTTGTAATAGATTCTATAAACTAATGCTAAGGGTTGGGTACCAGGAAGGACATTATAACCAGAGGTCTTAATATTTAAGGTTAAGGTCTTAAGAATATGAGGATCGTTTAGGCTAACAGTAAAATCAGGATAGCAATCAAAATGTACTGGACCATTATATAAACTAGACTCAATCATTCCAAGCACACTGAGACTTCTGGTTATAATGTCCTCCCAGGTACCCAACCTTTAGCCTTAGTTTATAGAATTTACTATAAAGATACTGGTACAAATATGAATTTTCAAGCTTTAAATAAAAGTCCGAAAGATCAAACACTTTTAATACAAAGTTGTACGCCTGATGCTAATATTAGAATTCCACACACAGTTAAATGGTCTGAGATTAGTCTACCTACTGATTGGACTTTTTAGTTACTGAGACTCAACCTGCCCCTATACAATGAAGTTTAAATAATTTAGATTGTATTCAGCAATATGTAGATGGTACAGTTAAAATTAATTTTGGCAATCACCCTAAGTCCTCAGTCCAATTACAACAATTGCCTACACCTAGTCAATCCAAGAGACATGCGCCTGCTAAACACTCCTTCACAGCTTCTTCCTCTACTCAAGAAAAAGACTTAGAAATAGAAAAAGCCCTAATTGATTTAAAATTAGAATCCCTTAGAAAAACAGCCCAAATAAGCCACCCATGCTATGAAACTCCTCCTCCAGTTGCAAAAGATCCCAAACCTGAGTCTCCTCCTACTTCTCCCACACAAACAGACTTCATAGCAAGTGAGGCCAATGCTTATGTCATAGATGACCAATTAAGAGTTCTTAAGAAATCTAAACGATTTAAAATTAATTGGAAATCCTTGGATAAACACCTTTATGACCCCAAGAATAAGACTGGGAGAAATAATTATCACATAGTTGTCCCAGACAAAAACAAAAGACAAGAAATTTTTAATGATTGGAAAGATTATATGCGGTCTGCTAAAGTTGAAATTTATTATCTTGATTTTGTAGAAAGCCGTTATATTTCGAATGAGTTAAAAACCTTAAGAAAAGAAAAATGGGTAAAAGCAGATCAAACTGAATTGTCTCTAGCCATCCCCCTGTAGAAACTATTCTTATTAACCATGGAACGTCCAAAGTTATTGCAAGTCCTTTTAAAATTGTTGACCAAACAGATGATAAGAATAAGAAACTGATTGAACAAAATAATTATGCCAATTAAAGTCTAGTTGTCATAGGAAAAAAAATTAGCTAAAATAGAAACCAAGATTGACAAGCTTCTTCCTTCTGAACCTAAACTTAAGTCAAAAGAAAAACCTTTAGTTCAGTTTCAAGATTTACAGCCTATACACTCACTTAAGACATCTTCCACTATGAAAAAGATAGAAGGTATGCTTGAGCAGTTAACTCCTGTCAAACCTGAGAAATCTGGTCTTAAAGTCTTAGGATCTTCCTCAGCCTTAGTTGTCCAGTCAGGTACTGATTCATATGAAAGTATGGAAACCATTGAGTCTAGTAATATTTCAAAAATTGAAAATGAATTCAAGAATCTAGAATTAGAATCTGAGTTAAAGAGATTAACTAATAGAGTTAACCCTACTAGCTTAACTAAAAACTGGTATCCTAAGCCTACACCACCTGATATCCAGTTTGAAGAAAGGAATAATTTGAGTCAGTTTTCTGTTTGTTCTGATAAGTTGTATGAGTGGAATATAGACGGTTTGTCTGAGCAAGAAATAATGAACAAATTAACTCATATGTCTATGGTAGCCAATAGTTATATCACTAATCATAACCTTCGCCAATCTGAGATAGTTCCTTTATTAAAAACTGGTTTTACTGGAACCTTACATTCTTGGTGGGATAAACACTTAACTAATGAGTCTAGAAGAAATATAATACATGCTATCAAACTTAATGAAGAAGGTTTCCCCATATTTAATGAGAATATAGGTCGCAGTGTAGAAGACGGAGTCAATACCCTCCTTTACACAATACTTGAGCATTTCATAGGAACACCAAGTCATACCCAAGCTAGAATACATGATCAATTGAGTAATTTAAGATGTCCTCAATTAAGTGATTTTAGATGGTATAAAGATGTTTTTATTTCCCGAGTAATGCTACGAGAAGATTGTAATCAAGCTTTTTGGAAAGAAAAATTTATTAATGGATTACTAAATTTATTCGCCCACAAAATTCGAACAGTCTTAAGTAATGAGTTAGGACATATAGATTATGATATTTTAACCTATGCTAATATAATTAGTACGATTAATCAAGAAGGTATGAAAATGTGTATCGATATGAAAATTAGTAGACAAATTCAATCTGAAAGAAAATCTGTTAAATATGAGTTGGGTAATTTCTGTGAACAGTATGGTTTAATTACTATCCCTCCTTCCAAAAAAAACAAGTCCAATTACCCTAGTCATATCCGTAAGTAAAAGACATTATGATAGAAAGAAACAATTCTTCCAACATAATAATGAGTATAATGAATTCTATAGGAAAAGAAAGTCTCACTCTAGGAAAAATTGGTCAAAAGCAATATTGACGTACCCTCATCTAAATACTTACATGTTGAAGAAAAATTAATATTACAAGGAGTTTGTAGTTCTAATGATTAAGATCATTTATTTTACCACGGAAGATCAATATTATTCGATTCTTCTTCCTTCATAAGTGTTTGTATGAAAAAAAATATAAATACTAACAATTTTATTCACTTTGGTATATGCTCTACCACAATATGGGTCACCCTTTTTTTCCTTTCTATAATTCAAAATACACCATTATATATGAATATATAGAAAAAGAGACACCATCTTAGTCTCAATTATAACATGTACTACAAGTTTGATGAATTATTGCTATCTAATTAATACTTCACATTGAAATTTATTGAATTCAAACTAGTTTCTTAATTAACTAGCTCTCCTTAACACTACAATACCATAACAATCTTATTATAATAACACTCAATGACTTATCTCAGAAATGAGTGGTATAATCCATGCAGGAACATGTGCTTCTTCAGCATAGAGGTCTGTTCATTATCACCTTCAACTCGAAGTGCTCGCAAAAGGATTAGGTGGCATGGCTAGATTACCTTCTCTTTCCAACATTTGAACTACAACTTTCATTGAAGGACGATCTGTTGGATGCCATTGGATGCACCATAGACCCACAATTGCAAGTTTCCTAGCAATTGTAACATCTGCTTCATCGTCACCAATATGAATTCGTAGGTCGTTGCCCTGCTCTAATAGGTTATAGATCCATTCTGGGAAGTAGACTTGACTAGTGGAGTCCTCCATGACTTTGAAGTTTTTTCTGCCTCCAACCATTTCAAGTAACAATATTCCAAAACTATAGACATCCGACTTATAGGAGACATTGCCGAAGTTCCTTGAGAAGATTTCAGGTGCAATGTAGCCCATGGTCCCCCTAGCTGTAGTCATCGATATTGCACTTTGATCCTTAGCACAAAACTTGGCTAAACCAAAATCAGAAACTTTTGGAGTGAAATCTTGGTCTAGCAATACATTTTGTGGTTTGATATCAAAGTGCAGGATTCGTTGGTCGCATCCTTGGTGAAGATATTCAATTCCTTTAGCTATTCCTAGAGCGATATCTTGCAACTTATCCCAACCAATGAATGAATTCTTATTATCTGCTGATGATAAGAAATTTTGCAAAGAACCATTTGGTAAGTATTCGTAAACAAGAGCATGAATAAATCCGTCGGCGCAAATTCCAACCAAGCGAACCACATTGACATGGTGGATTTGACACATTGTCCCCACTTCGTTTATGAAATCTTCCCCATTTTCATTTGAATTGTTGAGCATTTTCACAGCAACAAGTAACTCGGAGGAAAGCTTTCCTTTAAACACTGTTCCGTAGGCACCTTGACCCAACTTTTCCTTGAATTGACTTGTTATCCTCTTAATATCAGCATAGGAATATCTACTTGGCTTCATCGCTCTGTATTCATCCAAAAATCTTTCAATTCTAAGCTGATTTTCTTTTTCCTTTTTGTTTGAGTTGTAGACATAGCAGATTGTCGTCCCCATCGCTATTAGAACTAAACAGAGTGCGGAAATACCTGCAAATATTTTCTTTTTGTGTCAAACGTTTTTTAAAGCATTTTTAGCCATTTTAAACTCTCTTCCAAACATATCCTTGATTAACTTCCTCCCCATTATATTCATAAAAAAGAAAAAGAAAGAAAATAGAAAATAGAAAATAGATGAAATGAAGGTCTGCGGATATAGCTCACCTAATATCTTCCGATTTGTCCTTCTAAGATTACGACCTGTAAAAGTTGTTCATGAAATAAGG